TTTCCCCGCTCTTCCTCCCTCGCGGGTCTGGTTCGGCGGCAGCGCCTTCGCTAGGCGGCTGAGCGGCTCCGCAGGCCAGCAGCATGGGCGTGGAGAGTCCGGGCGAGCGCCCGGCTCCGGCTCGGCGGCGGCACGGCTGCCGGCGGGTGCGGCTGATGTGCATGCTGGCGCTGACTTTCGGCTTCTTCGTCGTGGAGGTGGTGGTGAGCCGCCTGACGGCCTCCCTAGCCATGCTCTCGGACTCCTTCCACATGCTCTCGGACGTGATGGCTCTGGTGGTGGCCCTCGTCGCCGTGCGCTTCGCCCAGCGCACCCGCGCCACCAAGAAGAACACCTTCGGTTGGGTGCGGGCCGAGGTGATGGGCGCCCTGGTCAACGCCGTCTTCCTGACCGCGCTCTGCTTCACCATCCTTCTGGAGGCCATCGAGCGCTTCACCGAGCCCCATGAGATCGAGCAGCCCTTAGTGGTCATCGGCGTCGGAGCCGCCGGGCTGCTCATCAACGTCCTGGGGCTCTGCCTCTTCCACCAACACGGCGCCGGCGGCCACGGCCACTCGCATGGCGGGAACGGAGGGGGAAACCACCGCCGGAGCGGCTCCCGAGGCAAGGCGGAGCCGCCTCCAGACGACCTACATAAAGAAGAGGAGACCAACACCCTGGTGGACAATTTCAGCAGCTCCAATGGAGTCAGCCTGGAGAAGCTGGGTGAGCCGAGGAAGGGGTTGGTATGGGGAGCAAATGCAGAGGGGCTTCTAACCTCAGCTGATAATGTTCAGAGGTATCTAGACCCAAGTCTGCATCAGAAAGTGCTCTTCCTAGGCCAGTGAGAATCGTTGGGCTTGATTTCCATCTTGCCCACGTAAATAGGCGATAAAAGAATACTTATACCGAGCCCTCCTGGCCCAGCGTAGATTGTGCCTTCTCCTTGGGCTGAGCATGGGAGAGATTATATCCTTTGCTGGTCTGCTTTGCTCTGAGATTGTGGCATGCTGACCCTAATTTACTCTCTTGGCAACCCACTGCCATGGTTACTGTTACCTCATCATACCCTAGCACATGATTGGAGCATCTTTTGCTTTGGGAGATTGCAACTTTTTCTCTAATGTGATGCATTACTCATTTGTTCACTAGATTTGCTAGATCTTAGGATCCTAAATATTGCTGTAGGCCTTTCCAGGCTTCCTCATTAGGCCATAAAGAGAAGACTTCTTGTATCTCATTTTTCTGTGATCATACCGAATTCTGACAATCCAGAATATAGGAAATGTCCATCAGTTATTCATAGCTACAAAAAAAACCTGCGTTCTAGAAACCTAGTTTAAGTAAAATGCAAAAATTTTGTGTCAGTGGCAAATACTGTGAAAGGTTGTAGATAGCTTTCCTGTAGTGAATTTAAAGTAATTAAAATTACTAAGCAATGTTCCTTTCATAGAAAAGAATTCCTTCAATATTCCTCTTCTTTTGCACCCTTCTTCCATGTATTTCAATAGAACAATTAATAGCACTGCAGATTCTTAAAGCTGCCTTTGTGTAATATTGGTTCTAATTGCTTGAAGAACTTTTTCCAGTAGCAAAATTTAACACAGAACTTAATTATACTAGAAAGTATATTATACATAGACACCAGCTGTCATGGTAGATCTGGTATGCGGTTCTCTCTCTGAGCATACACAGAATGTTTGTCATTCTTTACCCAATTATGTAGTCTCTAGCTTTTTTACAGACATGACGTACTGAGAAGTCATCAGTCATCAACCAATAAGTTTTCTGTAGCATTTATTCTGATTTAATTGCTTTGCTTAAATCTGTCGTCATTAGAGATTTAATCACCAAATCATCTATTTTTTTTGGACAAAATTATTTGGATTGCCATTTCTTAATTATTAATTATTCAGACTGCCACTTGAGAGCTAGTGTTGGGTACTTGCTGTCAATTTCTAGTCCACCCTCGGCCCTAGAAGTTCACTGGGTGAATTGCTTTCCTCTTAGCCCAACATACTTAACAGAGTGGTGGTTGTGGGGAAAAATAGAAGATGGAAGTGCTGTGTATGCCACTTATATCTCCTGAATGAAAGGCAGAATATAAATGTAATAAATAAAATAAATACAGAATTGTTCCTTTAAGGGTTAGCTACATTGCAGATATAGAACTTGTTCCCTGTCATGGAAGTGAATTCCTCTGACAATATTCTATGCATATAACTGTAATTTAATTTAATATAGTAATGTTGATTTATTCATAATTTAATCAGAGTTCTGGGATTGTGATTCCTAAAGCAGAGTGCTTATCAGGATTTATTGACACTGTTCCAACTTATCTGTTGGCATCAGTGTTTGTCATTTATGTAAGCAACTGCTCTTCTTAAAAGTTTGCATTTGGCCTTGGGATTATTGTCAACTGATTTATACAGTAAGATCAGTTGCGCCAGTGTGATTATGCAGGTGTATTTGCCCCACACACCTAAAAGTGTCTGATTTTAATAATAAGTTGCAAAACTATGTCTTTAGCTGTGGCTAAATGTGATCAAAACGTTTTATCTTATTTTATTATCAGTTAAATCTAAAACACAAAGTTTTTGGAAATCCAAATCTAGGAACTACTTCATTGCTAAAGGTTTTGCAAATGAACTCACACCTAAAAAAGTAGATGTATCTTGGTAAGATGATACTGGAAATGCTTCTCAGAATGATGGTATTTATTGGTTAATCCAGATTATTTAAATCTAAGTTTTGCAAATTACTAGTGCGGCATAAAATAGCCCTGGCAATAGTTCATCATGGTAGCCTGTCCTTCAAATCCTGTTCACAGAGTTTTGGTCCTAAGAACAAACATATGTCTCCTTAAGTAGTTCCTATAGTGGCTGTTAAAACTTGAAAGTTTTAGGCTCAAATGTTTAACTAGAAGCACATATGTACAGCATTCCTGGTATATTAATACATATATAATTGCTGTTTTCAGCACCCACAAACTTAACTCTTGAGCTCCACCATTGGGAGTTGTAGAAATCATTATAGAGGTGGAGTCAGTTTAGTGAAATGAGTGTGGGAGATGATTCAAGTTCCACCGGTTACATTGCTGAAATCATTGAGCAAATAGCATTTTGCTCATCATCAGTATCTGCAACATAACTATTCTTAAACCCATTTTGTAATACAGCACCCAGAAAAAAATGGTCTCTCTTGATATAATGGCTGTTTTGTCCTTTTTGTTTTCCAGCGTGAAAACAATTGCTTATTTTTTGTCTGCAGAATGCTGCTGAACCAAATCTAGAATTTAACTGAGAGAGTGGGCAAAAAGGCAATTTTCATTCCCTCCCATTCAACTTGCAGTTTTATATAGTTCCTTCCCCAAGATGTGGGTTTTCTGGAAAAAAAATTGAATACTGTATGCAAATGTTCCTATGCAATAAGTATGATTTGTTTTGGATTTTTGTCTCAGTATCTATAGTCAGCACAAGTATTTGGACAGCATTATTTGATGTGAAAAAAGTTAAATTTAGCCTATTTTATTAGGTTCAAAGAAAGTAAAAGCTTTGGTACATAGAAAAAATAACTTTTATTGGAAAGCTCAGAACAGTGGGATTCCCAGTATAGACTTTTCTCAGGTGATGATGCTTCAACACTTTGTAGTTTTATTAGTTTTCTGTAAATGGCCTATATTCTTTCAGGACATATTTTGTAGTAAATGCTACTTCATCCTCATAGTATTATTGGCATACTTTTGTGTGCAATATTTGCACTTGGCAATTTTCTTCTTATTTTCATTGGCTTCAGTTGTCACTTTTTTGTTTAGATTAGGCACTTTGACTAAGGCCTGAGATGGAGGATGAACAGATCAAGTCCATTTCAAGTAGGCCATCAGGGACTGACCATTGAGAAGCCAAGATCATGAGTATATGCATAATGCATATGTAAAACTGCTTCTGGTTTCTTCCTATCTATCTATTTAATCCATAGCAGGTGGTCTTCCAACATAATTCAGTCTGACCACATGGAGGTAGCTACAGGGAAGCTACTTTCTTTAATTTCTCTGCAGCTTTTTTTGGTTGATTTACCCCTTCTTCTCTCTCCTAGCCATTGGAGCCAGACATGGAATTCTTGCTTCTCAAAATCACTCAAAAAGCAAACATTAATAAACTCTAAAACTGCCAGACTATCCTGAACGGAAAAATTTATGCCTCCTTCCCCACATCTACTCTGGGAGGATTCACTGGAAGTAGTGCTAAGTTTTACAAGGAGAAGAGAGATTGATGAAAATCATTTTTTTCTAGTGTGTCTAGTCTAGATTCTAGTCTAGATTCAAATCATTGTGAATTAGCTTAGGATACCAGTGTGATTGGAAGCAAATCCTGGACTCAGCCCAGTATCAAAATCCAGAATACTCTGCATTTCACTTATAAAAGAGATGAATAACAGTTAGTGCATTTGACAATATAAAGTCATGGTCAGGATATGCTATCTGATGCTCTTCCATATCCAGCAAGGTTAATAGTGAGGCCATCAGCTTTCATACTCCTAATCTTAACAATTCTCTCTCCTTTTGACTGATAATTTCCACTGCTTCCTTGATGTGTCAATGTGAGTATGCATTCAGGCATATGTAAATTACTCTATTATATAACTGCAGTGATAGTTTTTCTGTGTATGTGTCTTATGCCCAGTGGGTGTTTCATTTTTTTAAAGTAAATTGTTCATTATGCTTAAGAGAACAGCTTATTTTTGAAAGTACCAAATGTCTTAGTTCTTTCTCCAAATCTTTCAGTATAGTATATGCCTGCATATTCCTTTTTCCTTTTATTCATATCTAATTATGATTATTAGAATTTTGCCTCAATTTAATAAATCTAGGAAAGCTAATGAGTGCTTGAGCAAAGAGATTGGCTTTGAATCATAAAGCAGCCTTTCACAGTATGGAATTCTCCAGAACTTCTAGCCAACTCCCATCATTATTAGACAGTTGACAGTGCAGCTGGGGATTATGGTAGTTGGTCCAAAGTATCCTGAAAGCACTAGATTGGGGATTGTTGCTCTAAAGCTTTGGTCTGAAGCTAATGTCAGGACCCAGAGGAGTACCATTTGGCCGACATAACAAGGATTGCATCAGCAGTATAGCACTCTATTCTAATTTACAGCTTACGATTAGAAAGTTTTGAAAGGAGAGGAGAAGAATTTTGATTATTTGTTGAAACATTAACATTGGGTCTTCTATTACATGTTGTAAAGACAGTTCCAGGATATGGAAAAAGTTTAAGTTCTAGAGCCCTTGAGAAATCACTAAATGTTTCTGCAAGGCAGACATAGTAATGTAAATACTTCTGGATCCAGACTTCTGCTAAGAAAATAGCTATTTTTAATTGATCTCCTTCATGTACATGTTGCTAACTTAGTCACAAAGTTCATATTTGCCTAACAATGTTGCTCTTGTCTTTGCAGGTGATGCGGTAAAAGAGAGCCAAATGGAACTGCAACCAAATGGAAATATTAGCAGTCACTCCTCTATAGACATGGAGGTTGAAGAAGACACTAGTGCTCAGCTCAATATGCGTGGAGTATTCCTTCATGTTCTTGGAGATGCCTTGGGTTCTGTTATTGTAGTAGTGAATGCCCTAATATTTTACTCTTACTGGACTCCATGCCCGAAGGTTGGGGATTGCATCAATCTGTGTGTTAATGACCATTGTAAAAACTTCACTCATTTTTCTCCAACTGAACTAGAGCAAATTCCTGTAGCTGGTCCTTGCTGGGTTCTATATTTAGATCCTGCACTGTGTCTGATCATGGTTTGCATTCTACTCTATACTACTTATCCTCTGCTTAAAGAATCCGCCCTTATTCTTTTGCAAACTGTTCCTAAGCAAATTGATATTCGCTCTTTAAATGAGAAACTCCGTAAACTGGAAGAAGTAGAAGCTGTCCATGAATTGCATGTTTGGCAGCTGGCAGGAAGCAGGATAATTGGCACTGCTCATATAAAATGTAAGGATCCAGAAACGTACATGAAAGTGGCAAAAGATATTAAGGAGATTTTCCATGATGAAGGGATACATGCAACAACCATTCAGCCTGAGTTTGCCGTTGTAAGCTCTGATGATGGTGTGAGTAAATGTGAACTTCCGTGCAGAACCCAATGTGCTCTGAAGCAGTGTTGTGGGAGTGTGGAAAAGGCTACTGCAAAGAAGATAGAAAAGTCCCCTTCAATTAGTATTTCTTGCTCTGAAATAGTGATTGACTCTCCACATCACAAAACCCGGAGGACTAAATCAGAATGCATACCAGCTGTAAAATTAGAAGCAGAGCCTAATCCCAGCAAACAATTTGAATCATCTTTGTAATTCCCAAAGTTATGCTGAATTGAAGTATGGATTCAACTACAAATTGATTGCAAGAGGAAAGACTACTATTAAAAAGAGAAGTTGCAAAGAAATGTAGTTGGTGAAGTTCCTGTCCTTGTCACAACAGTGAAATCCTGTTGAAAAGAACATGCTGTCCTGACACAACATGTTTGTGTTAACTTGAGGCTAACTAGCACAACAATTATGCAGAGCCAGTTTCAACTTTCTGCCTGATGCATTTTTGTTGAATTAAAAATTAAAATGATTCTTCAATAATTCCCTTTTCCCTGAAATTAGTTTGTATTAAGCTTCTTTTTGGGATTGTTCTTTCTGCTTGTTGATTTGTGTGTGTGCTACCTTTTTTAAAATTACAGCTATAAAGAGAGGACACCAAATTTGACAGAATCTTTTTAAAAAGTTAATTGCTTGGGAAATGGTTAGATTTCCTATTAGGTGAAAATGAATGCTATTTTAAATAAATATACTATGTAGCATTAATAATGGCATTTTAAAACATATCCAGCAACATTGACAAAGATCCCATTTTTGTATTGGTCCTGTGATATAACAAAAATCAGTTGCTTACTAAATAGGAATTGGAAAATTACTTGCATATTACCTGGACTGTAAGATTAGCTGTTCAGACAAAAACAGGATACACTTTTTTTCTCCTTACCTTTTTCCTTTTAAATATTATATAGATCTTAGAATTTAAACTCTATAATAGAGTTTGCTGGGACTAGAGAGCCAGAGCTGGTCTCTGTCTTAGCAGTGTGGCGTACCAGAATAGAGATATTGCCTCTGATTTATAATTATAAAAAAAAACCTGGGGAAAAAACATAACTAATCAAATTCATCAGCATATATTGCTAAAACTTTAATATATTTCTTACTTTTGTAAAAGTATTTATGACTTTACTGAGCCATTTATTTTTTTGTTGGATAAAATTACTTAGCTGGAATACTTTATTCGTAGTGAACTCTAGGCAGCAGCCTATGGAACAAGATTGCCGTCTGCAGCGCTGGTTATAAACTTTATTTGTAACAGGAATGAATTTCAGTAAGCTTAGAGCTGATGGGCACACCCATTTCTCTCCAGCGCATCCATGAGGACTAGTGATGAGAAGTTTTTGCTTATTAGCTTCAGTTTAGGGTTCTACCCAAATCCTAAACCATTGTCTTAATTCCTAGTTTGAAGTCTTTTTTCAAACAAATTGAAGGAACAAGTTTGAATTGGCTGAAATTGTTACAGAGAAATGTGGTTACTGTGAGCTACAGTTTGTCAGGTTTGGAAAAGCCAAAAAGTGATTTATCAGAATACTTCTGGCTTTCTTTTGGCCATATAGGAGAGGGGACAGGAAGACATGTGAGCCAAAGTCTCAGTGCAATTTATTCCAGTTGTAGTAAACTCATCTTCCCCAACTGTATTCTAGATGATTTGGACCATCATCTACAGCAGTATGCCCAATAGTTAGAGGAGTGATAAGGTAAGTTAGTCCAAAACATTTGGAAGGCACTAGATTTCTGAACACTGTTATAAATTATGGTTATTCTGATGTCTTAACTGCCTTCAGTCAGTACTCTTACCTGTGACAGTTTGCATAGTCCAACACAATTCCTGCTTAATTCAATCTTGTATCCACTGGAAGATTTTAAAGGCAATTCCACAAAGTACTTTGTAAAATGAAGTAGAGGAAAGTTTCTCAAGTCTATTAGTCACTTGTGCATGAATTTATAGACCTGCTCTAGCTTCTTAAAACATTATGGTTCCACTGGTTACAAGTTTTAAACCGCACAGCCAGCTTTTGTTTTCACTTCCAGATTATTAAAAATAGGGCTGATTACACATTCTGAGTTTACATTAATGTCAATTAATAATGAAGCATTTTTAGAGCTGTTAACTTTTTTTCCAATAGTGTATAAGATTCTAAAATGCATAGAGAAAAGACACAACAAGGAAAGTGTGTAGGTGAGGTGAGTGTTGCAGTCCTCCTTTATTTTACATAATAAAGCTATTCCACAGTTAACATTATGGTGCGTTATAACATTTTACTTCTAAAATGATCAAGTACATTTGCAAAGCATTTGTGTTTCTTTTGTTTTAAAGGCCACCTGTTAATACTCATAATTTGCTTCCCATATATCATTCCAAGCATGAAATAATTGTGCGATATAATTCTCATGTTGCTAGCCTAATTGAAAAAAATGGTGTCAGAACTCTGGAAATGTGCAAGCATGAATGTATGAACGGACACAAAAAAGTTAAATAATATTATAAAATATTATAAATTAGAAGTCTTGCAGCTAAAGCTTCCTAATTTTTGAATGCTTTAAAGTTTGGATTCATTAAAAAAATTACAAGCCTCACTTTTCAACTTCTTAGCATGAACTGGTTTTTATTTAGGTTAGTTTGTGTACCCAATGGAATATACAGTAATGGGCTGTTTCTGATTTTTATTTCTTCTTTCAAAAGAAACTTTGCTGCATCATCTCAGTAAAGCACAAAGTTTAGCTTTCATTTGAGTATGCAATACAGTGATAAAATAGGAAAGCATCTTACATGTTTGCTGAGTTTGGTCCTGCTTTTTATTGTACAACAGCTTGTTTTTGTGGCAGAATATGTTGTATCCATATTTTCACAGGTAATGTTTCAGGAATATTAGCTAGGTCATTTCCTAGTTATATCTGAAATAAAATTGAACACCTTGAATATCTTCAACTACAGGAAGCTTTTTTTTTCCTTTTTGTACTTGATTATATTGAATATTGAAGCCAATTTTGCAAGCTATTTTTTCTTCTGAGTGGCACTGTATTGGGGGGTGGAATGTTTCAGTTAGAGTTAGACCAGTGATAGTGGACACATTCTGCTCAGTATATGCTTTTGTGATAAACTTACTTAACCTACAATAAATGTGAGATTGCTATGTGAATCTATTTTGCTACAATTTCACATGATTTTTTCCCCAGAAGTTATAGTGTATATATTCATCGTGTGCAGTATGTGTTTCATCACAAATGCACAGTTGGGTGAGTGCTGTGTCACTGTATGATACATAACATTGAAAGTACTCAGATGATGGTAAACAATGGGACTATTGCTACCTAAGTGTTTGAAAGAGTGGCCTGTAAAAGAAAGATAGGCCTTTCCAAGCAGGACTGTGTGTTTAAAAGTGTTACTGAAAGTTTTGCAGAATGCTTCAAAACTACTTGAAAGAAGTACTGCTCCAGATGTCTTTGTTAAGGTTTGCCTTTCTTTCAGCTGTGAGCATTGGGCACTCTTGCTCTATGTAAAGCAGTTTGCAGCTGGGGCCTGTATTGGAGAGAACCGAGGTACTGAGTCCATTGAGTTAATGGGAAACTGTTGGGGGTAAAATGCACTTTCTGACACTTCTCCTTGATGGGGGAAATCATTTTAACTCTGCATCTCCTCTTTTTTATTTTTTAAAGTTTTATGAAACATGTATTGCATATGTAAGGGTATTAAGTACAATATTTAAATATGCTGCTTTAATTTCACAACAGCATCAATGTAGCATTTTTGGGACTCTGGCTTATGTTTACAGAACAATTATTGAATATTATAATGTAGTTTGTTTCTGTCTTGCACCATCTCATTGCCTCTTGGTGGATTGAATGGTACTAATATTTCATGTGCCTGAAATAAGGTATTTGATCATATTCTCCTTCTTCTGTGTTAAACCAAATGCAGCCTTACTGATAACAGGAGCTTTCATTCATTTGTATGATCTTGGGTTATGTCATTAAACTGCCTGTGTGAAGATCACTTCCATGTCTTAGAAATATGTGAGCCTGATTTTTTCACCACTTGCTGTATGTATGTATTAAAGTCTTCTTGAGCATAGTTTCTGAATCCACATGCTCTGCTGTAGGGAGGGAGGCAACTCCTTTTGTGCTGTATGGGTTGCATTTGAAACTAGTGTTTGGGAGATTTAGCTGGTATATCTATATTGATTACAGTACTATCGATAACAATGAGCTTCTGTTAAATTCTGCTATGGTGTTTCTTTGCATATAAACTAAAGATTGAGAAGGAAATAAATGTTGCTAAATGAACTATGATAATTAGCACAGTACTTTGTCTTCCCCCTCTCCCTTTTAACAGCCCACTTCACTTGCTAAAATGGCTTTGGAGATGTTAGCATTATCTAAATAAATGGAGGTTTGGCTAAATGCAGAATTGGTATGATTGGTGTATATACAAGGATTTAATTTATCTTAACATCTCAAGCACGAATCCAGCTGGAAGGTGAATGTTTGTCAAGAGCATTATTTGTGTGCATATGCTTGGCTGGCTTATGAACTATACTTTCTTCTTCATGGCTTGATCTACCTGTAATGACACATGCAGGTCAGGTCTGAAAATCAAAAAATTCAACTGAGTCTTCACCCTCTTCCTCTCTATCCTGAGCAGTTAATAAGAGCTATAGAGGATATCATATTTGCATATTTGTTTAAGTAACGTTTTAATAAAATTTTATTTTTTCCTAATGGATCAGCAAGTTGTCTATAGTTTTTCAAATGAATAGAAGCATTACTCAACTTTTCAAGACCATGAATAGTAAGGTTGCACCATCAAAGAAAGGTTTAAAATCTACAGAATGGCAATGCTATTAAAAACATAAAGCTTCCAAGTCTAATCTAAAGCCCCGGGATTCCCTGGTTGTCTTCCATCCAAATACTAACTAGGTTCAACTCTGCTTAGCAATTTGGCTAGGTACTACTATCTCTATTAGGTAAAATGCCCCACAAGGCCGGTTCTTTTATTAATCTGTTCAACATATCCTAAATGTATTGTTTATAGTGAGGGATGCTATATAAATTGGGACAAAAAGCTGTCGTATTTTAGCTATGTGGTTTGTAGTTTTAATCATTTAAAGGTTGTGTGTTTCTTGGAAGTGCTGAAGTTCTTTATTTAAAATTACATCTACTTGAAAATTTTCAAAAAAGTGTTCGTGAGGCAGGCCTAATTTTGTTCTCCCTTATGATGCTCCTAATGAAATTCTTTCCTCTTCACTCCCTATACTCCTAGCTACAATATTAGTCCTAGAAGGAAAAAAAAATCCATAGGCACTATGAAAAAAAATGGCATGCATTTCAACCATTAATTTTAACTCTCACATAATATCACACACATGGGAAAATATTTGCCTCACTTATTAAAAGCCATTCTTGTAACCATGTCAAGAATAAAGTTAATACTGCTCACCCCCCAAATATAAGCAGTTGTGGGGAAAATCAGATTTTTTACATTTGTTTTTCATGTTTAAATGTTTGCCATATTACTGTTTATATATATAATATAAATAATATATACACACACACACACACACACATATATACATATATATACACACAATCTCACACACACACACTCTGCGGTTGCTAAGACACTTAATTAGAAATGTTTGCAGATTTGGCTTAAATTGGGTTATTTCCTTTAAATGAGAATGTGTTTTACACTATCATTAGGAATGCTGTGGTATTGGCTAGTTATGTAAATGCTAATCCAACTGCTCACTTTATTGCCTGCCAGACTTCAGTGGTATTAGAATTGGCTATTTGGAAAGTTAATGGTTATATTCTGAGTGTATGTGTGTGTGTATATGCATG